TTTTTGTACTTAATAAGCCTAATCTATGTTTGATGCTGCCCCCCCCCCCTGCAGACTTACAACGCTAGAAATCGGGTTTCAATACCCATGGTGGGCAGAGCACAGATGTTCCATTGTTTAGTTTTGTACTTATACTACAAGCAAACTATGTTTGACTTGAGAAGAGTGAAGAGACATTAATAGTGTAAAGAATGCCTACATTTGACTTGAGAAGATAGTGTAAAAAATGCCTTTTAATCAAAGGGGATTTTATATGAATAAATAATTCTCTAATTGCAGATTCCTAATACAGGTTTGTGTTGAGCTAAAAGAATGTTATAGTAATGAAAACTTTAGTATTGTAGAAATTTCATATACAAATTTCCTTTGTTTAACATTGACATTGACAGCTTCATTGGTGCTGGATATAGAAGATGTGGTGTGATCAATGTTATTGTACGCTTTCATTCAGAAGTCCTTTTAATAACAGGAGTTTAATATTGTGTAAATGTATATTATAGAATAGTATGATTCATTATTTTGGTTAAAAAATTTCTCATAATCAATTTTCTTTTTATCAAATACAGCCATCAGCTTGGCATAAGTTTTGGATTCTGTAGTATTATAAACTTTAAATTAACATTTTAAAGAGTATTATTGACATTACAAGGCTTTTCTTATCAAGCAAGAGTTTTGTTTTTTAACCTGACTGAGCAGTAAGTTAACTTCCACCTGCTTCCAATATGATACTCACCTCTACTCACAGCTAGCTCATCACTATCCTTGATACCCCATCTAAACTCACGTGTTCACATGTTATATTGTTGCATGTAAATGAGTATGTGACAACACCCTCTATACTGATTATTCAATAATCACATCTCTATTTGGCACTTGTGTGTTGAAACCTTAATTCGTTTTGCTCATTTGAGATTTCTCAACATACATATTTTGTAGAAGTTATCTAAAACCCCACTGTTGTGGAATTATTACTTTATTTCTTAGTTTTCAGGACTTCTGCTGCATCTGCTCTTAATTTTAATGTTATGGATTTCAAAGTGACAGTAACTTCTACTCTGTCTAATGCTTAATATCAAGATACAGTTCACTCTAGACAAACAACAATGATGGTGGTGAGTTCTTCTGTGTCTGTTGAGGGCAGGAATTAGAATCTTAAATGCCACATGGGCCTGTTTCTGAACCTGACATCCCTCCTCCAACCTTTGCCAACAGTGCTTTCAGTGCTTTTGTGGATCTGCTTCAACCTTCTATATCTTTTCTTGACATGGATTTTTAGATATGCTACCTTCTATCTCTATCTCTCTCTCTTCTGTTCCTTATTATTCTTCACTTTCCCTTCTTCAATATATGTTTTTCCTCCTTTCCCTGATATGCAAGTCTATACTGAACATTTTTGTTACAGTTTTGCTCTGATGGCAACATGCCTCGTCCTTCTCACCTGGTTGACTCTTATGCCTTGACTTATAATGAGGCTGAAGTCTATTTCTTAGACTCCCAAACTCTATAGTTTTTTGTTTCTTTTTCAGGCTTGTGGTTTTGATCCTTTGTCTTCTGTACATCTTTTACAGACCCAGTTTTCATGTCTTCATTACCCATTTCCATTAACTTTCTTCCATCCATTTTCTTTCAGCGACAATCCACTGTTCCC